CCCGCCCCCTGGTGGGCTGAGCTGGACACACACACACACACACACACACACACACAAATAAATAAAAATTAAAAAAAAAAGAAACCACTCAATTAAAAAAAAAAAAAGAAAGAAAATGGACTGCAATGTGTCTACACACGTAGTTCTGGGGAGTGGCGCACACAGACCCTGTCCCCTGCCTGCCCTCCTACTTTACGCTGTTCTAGGCTGCCACAGACAGACACACTAACTCTGCCTCAGGTTGAGAGATTTATCATAAAAATGCCTCCTGGGATGAACAGGAATCATGAAGCTCTTGGAAAGTAGGACAGCAACTTGTTACAAAACTAAACAGAAGAGTACTCACTGAAACATGAAAGGTGGGGATGAGCTTGAGGGCTCCCCTTGGCATAGATCTCACGTATCCTGAAGTGGCAGCTGTCTGTCCTACCGGCAGACATTTTGTCACATCAACAAAGTCAGCAAAAGCCAAAAGGAAGCAGAATGCAGACCACGAGTTCCTGCACGCTCGCATATGTGTGGAACGGTCTAGCCATCGATCCTTCGTCCTTGCTTGGCTTTCTGGTGACCTCTCCATTTATATTCAGCTGTGCCGACTGTCTGCTAACAGAGCGGCCTATGCAGGCCTCGAGCAAGCGGGACAGGACCACCGTGCTGTCCAGGAGAACACACTTCCCGTCCTCACACCAGGACAGTGGTGTCTCGAGCTGTCTCCGCGTGCGCTCCTGAGCCCCAAGCACATGTGACTCCTGGCTCCAGCTCACCTCTCGCCTCTGAGCCTCATCCTATTCATGACTGCTCCTGTTGGCTTTCCTCCTCTTTGTCTTCCTTGCCCTGTGCTGCTGCTCTCTGCCAAGTCTCTGTATGTCCAGCATTCAGAGCCATCACGACAGAGAATCTGATTAGTTCAGCACATCAGCATCCTCAGAGGAGCCATTGTAGTGGCCTCTAAGTGGGCTGCCTTTGATTCAGCCTTCAGTCCCCAGTCTCGTTCACTGTGGCCAGGCAGGGTCATGTGGCAGAAGACACACAGATGGGTGCCGGGGCAGCGCCCGCAGCGCCTTGTCATAAAGACACTGTGTGTCATGTCAGCCTGCAGCCAGCAATGGCCCATTTGCTGTGGGAAAGTGTCTGAGTTGTGTTCATCTTCCCTAAAGACATCAACTCTTATTCTACCACAAATCCTCATGTTGACATCAGTTACTGGGAGATGGCGCCACAGAACGCTGTGCAAAGCAGCAAGCGCTGGCAGCAGAGGTGTCTTGGCTTTCACACATCAACACCAGTGCGTGACTTGGGTCAGGAATGTGTGGCTGCTGGGGTGGTGCATGTGTGACCTGTGTGTCCCAAGTCCTATCCATCTGTGCACTGTACGTGAGCATCAGCCAACAGTGGCTGTCAAGGTTGACCCTCTTGTGCACCAAAAGGGCTGCCCCTGCCCTTGAAATGACCTCCAGCTGATCTGGGACCCAGCAGAGGGCTCCACTGGTGTGCCCCGAGGAGGCTCCCCAGGGCTGCGCGTGCCTGCCTCTTACCGTGTCCTGGGTCCTATCAGTGCCAGCCAAGAGCACGCCTGCCTCCGCTGCCACAGCTGCCACCCCACTGCTTCCGTGCCACCACTGCCCTCCCAGTGGACGTTTCTCCTGCCTGCAAGGGCATGGACAACCAGCGCAGCTGTGCCAAGCTCTCTGTCCACTCCCCATACAGCTTTTGGAGCCCAGGCCCCTCCAGGACAGCTGTCGCCCCTTGGAGGGCCACTCCTGGGGGTGTCAGCCTGATACCTTTGGCGCTGAATGTCCCAGGGAGCTCCAGAAGAAAAGAGCATTTTCAGTTGTGCTTGATCTTTCATCAAAACTTCTGCCTTCCCCAGTTATGTGACTACAAGAACAGGGCCAGAGTGACAGCCAGGTGACAGGTTGTGTTCCAAATGAGCCTTTCCTCACAGTGTCGCCTCACTGGCTTCCTCCCTTCTCTTCCTGTCTGTAGGATGAGTGATTTCCCACAGGTGTCTTGGTCCCCCAAGTTATAGGAAGAAGATTGGACCGAGTCATCCCAACAGGGCAGAGCAATGACCCATCCAGGTAATCAGCTATACCTGCTGGTACAACTGACCATTTAGAGCTTATCTGGTTTCACATTGTCTATAAATATGCGTTTGAGGGAAATTAGAGACCTCAGAAGTATAAGTAATTCTATGCAATTGATACGTAGTATTGGTGTGAAGAAGATTTAAGATTTTACCAGCGGTGTTCTTCAGCTGTAAGAAAGAACACGGAAGGCAGGTGCTGTGAGAGGTTCCAGGAATGGGGAGAGGCTGATGCAGGGCTGATCAGACCCGCTCGCTGCTACCAGCAGGAAGAAGGCCCTGAATTTAGTGCAACAGGCTCTGAGTCAGCACTGTGCATCATCTATTTTGCACAAATACCTCACCACACTTTGCCTGAGTAGAGTATTTCTTTAAGATAACTGAAGTATTTCTGCTGTGTTTCTGTTTGCAAAGACTGTCTTCTGGGCTGCTACACATGTTGGCTTTGAGGAGTAATGAATTTCCTGTGGTTATGAATCACCCAAGTTGGCACTTGGCGTAGTACGTGGATGTATAAGAAGACAGCACCAACCCAGAGAGGCATCACCTGGCGAGCTTCAGCACGTGGGCGAAGGCCAAGAACGGATCGAGGCCCTGGAAGAGAGTTAGGGCTGAGTACCAAGTTTCAAGTACTCCAAAGTCTAAGTAATAAAAGCAGGAAAGATTTGGAGAATAAAGCCCAAGAGGAGTGGCTCAGACAGGTACAAGAAAGCCTAGAAGAATGACCTGTCATAGAAAGCAGTGGAAGAGATTGTCTTGAAGCCATCGTGGTGGGGTGAGCCTGTAATCTCGTCATGCTGGGAGGCTGAAGCAGGAGCATTGCAAGTTTGAGCCCCACCTGAGAAAGTTGGTGAGCTCCTTTCTCAGAGATACAAACAAAACAGGAGTGTGGCTTGTTCCCTTTGCCTCCTCCCCAGAAAAGTGACTATGTGAAGCTGGAAAGCGATACTCTCCAGTGTTCCCAAATGGTCCCAACGCACAAGGTTCAAACAGAAACCTGACGTTCACAACAATGGATCCACAGTACTCAGAAAATTCATTCGAGGGCAAGAATCTGTTCAATGGGAAGGACAGACTGGGATGAGGAAAAAGGGAAAAGAAGGAAGGGGGAA